GTAAGCACTTTATATATTAGCTGATATAATTCTAAAAACAATTTAAGTGGTAGCTGCTTCTATTAGTCTTCATGTGAAAACGAGGAAACAGAGACTCAAAGTGGTTAAGTAAACTCTGTGTTCATCCACTAGTAAGTAGTGTATTGAGATTCAAACCAGAAGAGTCTGACTCCAGAATCTTCACTGCTATTACTGATCGTGGAGGCTAGAAGCTACATTTTAGTCAGTAGGTAGACAGGCAGTATTTACTTCCCATGGTGGTCACCACTGAGCCAGCTGAAAGTCATTTCTGTGGAGAGACTGCTTTGTGTTTAGGGTACACAGTGACCTCAAAGTGAGGTGATTCACACCTCTCTCCCCTCCTCCACCACTTCTGCACACCTTCTATCTGTACCCCAGTTGTCCTTACCAGACTATCCAGACCACATTCTGTTCCTAACATTATGTTGAATGGGATGAGCTCAACCACTATATTGACCCTCAAAATGGGAATCTAAAAAACACAGAGAAGTTCTTTAGGTGTGGGATTAGCACAAGGGTGTTAAATTTAGGCAGAGCTGGGTTTGAATACCAAATTTTTCTTCTATTAGCTGTGTAACCCTGGGAAAATTACTTAACTTTTTAAGATCTCAATTTCCTCCTCTCTGTAAGGTGAATATGACCACTTCCCTCCTAGAGTTATGGAGCGGTTTAAATGCCTGGCACACAATGCTTACTAAATAGTAGAAGCCCCTCTTCACTCTCTGGGGGTATTAATTTGAAGGCATCACACCTGGCAAGGGAAGAGGAATGATTCATTGAGGGGTAAGTTTGGAGAAAGCATGCTGCAATGCAGTCTGCCTTCTCCCGGGGATTGCTAGCTTGTGTCTGCTCAAGTTCTCTCTGCAACAAGGAATGCTTCCGCACTCCTGCTGCCCTGCCTACAGCTGGCTGAGTGTCTGTGCTGCACGTCTAGACTCTGGGGAAGTAATAGGAGGCTCCCATGTTGGCTTCAGGTTGAAGTTGTGTTCTTCAATCCAATTTCTCTAGTAATAAAGCCCAAATTTTAATTCACATCCAGCTTCTGTGTCTATTTCTTAATTCATTTTTTTCCCATGGAGAGGTCAGGATTACACTGTTAACAAAAATCCTAACCATATCTATTATAATAATATTTCTATTACTATTATTTACTTTTAATTTTTTATTATGTTTACTTTAGTATTATATTAAACATAAGTCTACTTTATGTGTGTATAGATAGTATTTATACAGCCCATTCAATTAGTTTGTATTTCTTAGGTTGTAAATCCTAGGGAACTGGAATAGCATTAGTGAATTTTTCTGGGTTCAGGGCTGAATAGGGTGCAATTGACCATTTAAAAATGAGTTTTGATAGTAGGAAACTAATTTCTCAGGGAAATTGTGTTCGCTTGCAGAGAAGTTCTTTAGGTGTGGGATTAGCACAAGGGTGTTAAATTTAGGCAGAGCTGAGTTTGAATACCAAATTTTTCTTCTATTAGCTGTGTAACCCTGGGAAAATTACTTAACTTTTTAAGATCTCAATTTCCTCCTCTCTGTAAGGTGAATATGACCACTTCCCTCCTAGAGTTATGGAGCGGTTTAAATGCCTGGCACACAATGCTTACTAAATAGTAGAAGCCCCTCTTCACTCTCTGGGGGTATTAATTTGAAGGCATCACACCTGGCAAGGGAAGAGGAATGATTCATTGACGGGTAAGTTTGGAGAAAGCATGCCGCAATGCAGTCTGCCTTCTGCTGGGGATTGCTAGCTTGTGTCTGCTCAAGTTCTCTCTGCAACAAGGAATGCTTCCGCACTCCTGCTGCCCTGCCTACAGCTGGCCGAGTGTCTGTGCTGCACGTCTAGACTCTGGGGAAGTAATAGGAGGCTCCCATGTTGGCTTCAGGTCTAAGTTGTGTTCTTCAATCCAATTTCTCTAGTAATAAAGCCCAAATTTTAATTCACATCCAGCTTCTGTGTCTATTTCTTAATTCATTTTTTTCCCACGGAGAGGTCAGGATTACACTGTTAACAAAAATCCTAACCATATCTATTATAATAATATTTCTATTACTATTATTTACTTTTAATTTTTTATTATGTTTACTTTAGTATTATATTAAACATAAGTCTACTTTATGTGTGTATAGATAGTATTTATACAGCCCATTCAATTAGTTTGTGTTTCTTAGGTTGTAAATCCTAGGGAACTGGAATAGCATTAGTGAATTTTTCTGGGTTCAGGGCTGAATAGGGTGCAATAGACCATTTAAAAATGAGTTTTGATAGTAGGAAACTAATTTCTCAGGGAAATTGTGTTCGCTTTGGTAATCTATTGGCTAGAGCTGTAATTCTTGATATTGTATAAGAATGACAAGATAGAGCTGTTTTGTGGAATTGTTTTCTATGCCTTTACAAAAAAGACACATCCTGATTTTTCATCTCAAATTTCACATACTTACCTTATTATATCAGTTTCTTTAATTCTGTTTTTTGCAACAACATCTGGAGGAATTGTTCTCCAACCAAAGTTCATGGGCCATGTAAAGATTCCTCTTTGAAAGTTGTCCACTGTCATGTAACTAATCCAGGGAAAAAACAAAGTGCTACCTAAGATTATATACATCTTTACATATTTTGCCAACTTGGCTCCACGACTTATTCAAATGAATGAAACAAGTGCTTATGCAGATGATTTTAGATCATCACCTTTTAATAACAGTTCAAGAAAGTTTATGAGCACAACTTGCATTAGTGACTAATTGGATTGCTTGTGTTTAACGTATACTTTTCTTTTTAATAATATCCTATCCGTTTTTTGAGTAAACAATATAACAACAATTTAGGAGCACATATATGTTCTGCACAAAAAGAAAACTAAACTTTAGGAAAATAAATATTTTGGGGTTCAGGTGAATACAAAGGGGAAAGAGCTAGATAGTGAGTATTAGGATTTATTGGTATGTAGAGTTAAAAATTTATAGACCAAATAGATCATTGGATTGACAAACTCTGATCCCAAGATATCTCCATTTATTTAAGTGGATAAACTGTGTATTTCTTAGGTTTTCAAAAATGTGCATATTAGGAGTATGATCAGCACTTTCTACTGCTGGGGTTAAAGGTGCACTTAGAATTATCTTGTGGAATATGTCAATATTACCTCATATCCTTGTCATTGATGACTTCGATTACTGGACAGGCCACTTTCTTTCNTCCTAGGAGTCATGTGGGGCAAGCATAATTTATGTTGGGAAAAAATTGATAAGCCACTTAAAGTGGGTAATGAGACTCTAAAGGGAATACTTCATATTAAAGGTAGTTGCTAAAGTCATTCTAAAGAGGGCAGGTCCCATTAACTCTGGGAATGATGGATGTGGGACTTTGCTTTTCAGAATAGAGACTTTGAAATTACAAGTTTGGCCTTAGGAATGATGAAGAGGAAAAATCTTTTCACATATTGGGGATGAAAAAAAATTAAAGTGGAGGAACCAGAAGGACTAGGAGGTACTATTAAAAGAATTACGGGAGAGGGAAATATGGAATAGGGAGTTGTTGTTTAATAGGTATGGAGTTTTAGTTTTGCAAGATGAAAAAGTTCTGGAGATTGTACAACAATGTAAATGAACTAAACACTATCAAACTGTACTCTTAAAAAATGCATAGGATGGTAAATTTCCTGCCCCTAGCCATTCACCTCTCTCTCACCCTGATCACCAAGGCCATGAAACAGAAGGAACCCTTCATTCTGGACTCCTTCAGCAGGCAGTGAGATGATCTGTCTACTCTGCTCTGCTCTGATCTATACCCCAGTGACATTCCATGGGTAAAAAATGGAACACTGGAGGAGCCAGGGCTTTCTCTTCCAGCCTCTTTCTGATACTGTTGCAGTAAGAGATAAGAATTGACTGTTCCTTTCATTTTGGCTTATTGTTTTAATTGACTGTTGCAATACCTGGCTGCTCAGCTTAGCTCTTAACAATCCTATAATACCACTGAGAAGCTGAGGAAAGCCCTGGCTCCTCCAATGTTCCATTTTTTACCCATGGAATGTCACTGGGTGATGGACCAGAGCAGAGCAGAGNAAAGCCCTGGCTCCTCCAATGTTCCATTTTTTACCCATGGAATGTCACTGGGTGATGGACCAGAGCAGAGCAGAGTAGATCTGAAACTATGAAACTACTAGAACAGAACACAGGAGAAACATTACTCAAAATGGGAGTGGGCAGCACTTTATTGAGCAAGACTAAGAAAGCACAGGAAAGAGTATCAGAAAGAGGCTGAAAGAGAACAAAGAACTTATGTTATTTTTCAAGGTTGTACAGCTAATAAGTGGCAGTGTGGTATTAGAAAATAGGTAGCTCATTCTATAGACTATGTTCCTTTGTCGATAGTGTCGCTTGCTGTGCAGAAGCTTTTCAATATATTTATAGCATATTTTGAAGACAGGAACTGTGATACCTTCAACTTTGTTCTTTTTTAATTAATTAATTATTTTTT